GATCAGATGTGTGTGTATGAGTATATGTGTGTGTGGGTGTAGGTGTATATACATATATATATATGTATGTATATACACCTACACCCACACACACATGATTGATAGGCATCAATGATTAATTTTACAAGTGTAAGATAGAGGAGACATGGTTACATACAACAACTGTTCTGAATTAGCAGCCAGCTCAATTTGGCCTGCCCTGTGAGGGGCGTTGCTTCCAGGAATAAAAAGGTGATAGTCCTACTGTATTCTGCCCTTGTTAGACCTCATCTGTAATACTCTGTTCAGTTCTAGGCACTACACTTTAAGAACACTGCTAAACTGAAGAGTGTCCAGGAGTTCAACCAGGATCATGAACGGCCCTGAATCCATATCATACGAGGATCTGTTGAAGAAACTAGGCATGTTTAATCTGGAGGAGAGAAGAATTAGGGGTAGGTCAGGGCATGATAACTGTCTTCAAGTATCTGAATGCCTGTCATGTGGAGAAGGGATTAGACTTTTTCTGTTTGGCCCCACAGGCCCAAACCAGGAGAAATGGGTTGCAAAGAGGCAAGTTTAAACTTGATGCCAGGAAAAGTTTCCTAATAACTAGACCTATTCACAAGTTGAATGGTGTTTGGTTCCCTTTCGTTGGAAGTTCTAAAACAGAGGCTGGACAACTGCTTCTCATGTATGTTACAGTGGGGATTCCTTTTGTATATGGATTAGACTAGGTGGACTTTGAGGTCCCTCCCAATTCTAGTTATGTAGCTACTTGCACAATTAAACCTATACCACATGGATTCAAATATATCAGGGCAGTAATTTTAAATTTTTTTTCCAGAAGAAATAACTTTCTTTTTCCTACCTGATGTGCTTGCTTATTCCTTCTGGATGCAAATTCGCAATCTCAGAGCAATGTGGTAAAAGGTAACAATACTTGAATGCACAATCAAGCTACAGTTAACTCTAAATGACAATTATAAATTAGACTGTGTCCCAGAGTTTCCAAGAAATCTGATAACACACAGTTTTTGGGTATGTTGAAACACTTCTTTGAAAAGTAAAAGAATAAGGAATATTTGAATCCACAATTAAAATATATTTTTGTAAAAATGAATTTCATTATGTATTTTGATCTATATCATTGAAAAGCAAGGTTCTACATTCATTCAGATTGTGTTTGTTCAGCCCAATTACTACTTTTGAAACTAAACCATCTTAACTGGGACAACACGGTTATTTATATGAAATGCAGCGTTTGTAACATGTTCATCCTGGTGGTTTAATATTTGATTTCTTATTAACTTTATCATTTCCGAGTTACTGGACAAAGTAATTCCTTTGTCATCTACTATTTTTATTATAATAAAAAAGTTCATTTTGTTTTCTCAAGTATGCAGATTCTATAACCTTATCCAGTTAGCAAGAGCATGAGGCTCAAAAGAGTATGTGCAGCCTGGCACATAAGTATGTTAGCAGGAACAAGCAACCATATGCCCTACATTATCTGTGCTAATGATATGGATAATATAGTATGGTGATAATTCATAAATCGTTTATATTTTAACATGGATGTGTCTGATGTTCTGGGAGTTCACATTTCAAGTGAATGGTGAAAATACTCTGTGAACACATAAGAAACTAGAAATGATCCAGCTTCTCAGGTCTATCTCTTTTCTATGATTATTGAGTTTTCCATTTTAGCTTGGAAACACAAAGCATCACCATTTATATTCTTACAAGATATTCTAAACTTAACTTTTTTTCTCTCTCATCTCAGCAGTTTCCTGGGTTCATATTAGCACTTTTCCTGGGTTGGAGAAATTGTTTTGGTGTAAAAAAATCAAAGGTTGTCTTCAGAAGATGTAGGTTCCACGGGAAAGAAAAATTAAACAAGTAACAGTGAATAGAGATGGTGTCATAGCGAATTGTGGCCAACCTTGCATTTAGGAAGATCTGGGTTCAATTCCTGTTTCTCAAACATAAAAGCTATTTGATGATGCGTTAGTCAATTAACCTCTAGGTGACCCAAGCCACTTTCTAAGACTCTAAACAGATCGCCAGTCTGAATTGGGGGGAAGGTATTTCTTCACTTGGATTTATCATACTAATAAAATCACAGGTCCAGGCCCCTTGCCTCCAGTTCCCCTGCCCCTCCCTCTATCCCCCCACAAGGAAACAATCAATATTCATCATATACTGTGCTTAATTCAGTAGATAATATTAAATCAAGATTTTCCAGAGACACAAAGTATCATGTTCATAATCTGGCTAAGGATTCAGGTAGCTGACTATTAAATTCTAAAAGGAGGAATTTAGGAAGAGACCTCACCATATGATTCACAGCCTGCATGTTAATGTTTCTATGTATGGAAGCATCAGCACACTAACCTACTTTTCCCCAGAAATATAGCTATTCTACTATGATTAGTAAGAAGGGCATTCTCTGTTAAATTCCTTTGTGTATATAAGCCTTCATGGACTCTGCCACAGAATTCCAAACATTTTAAAAATGTCTGAAGAGTCTCAATGATAATTTTGATCATTAAAAACATTGTGAATTAAACAGTTATGTCTTATTCCCAAGGACAGGCTAGGGACAGCCTGATAACTGAGGCTATAGAAAGAGAACATGATGACAGCTCAAGGAAGAGTTGCAGAACCTTCTTCACAGGTAAGAGCATCAGCACTTCCAATGTCACCCAAGGCTATCCAGGATAGAAATGAAGGATAGGCCATAGAAGCTTGAACTCAGAACATACCTGAAAATACAACGTAACTCCTAACCATGTTTAACACCCATAGGGAAGAGATGTGAGGATGGAAACATGCCTAAGAATACAGTCCAGAGTCAGCCAGTAAGCTTTTTTTTTTTTTTTGGCAGATATCATATTGAAAAGGAGATTTTAAAGCTGTCCCCTGACAAAAGAGGAAGAGAAAAATCACATACGATGGTCTTATACAATAAAGTGCTAATCAGAGAGGGGGAAAATAAGCTGTTACTTCAGATGAGGGTTGGGGGAAAGAAGAAATGAATTTACCCCCATAATGGGGAAGTAACAGAATAAAACGAATGCAGATGGTTCCACTCCTGTTACTTAATCAAAAGGCTGTGCAGAGTCACTAGAGCCGGCACAAAGTCATGTGTTAGAACAACAGCTGATTTGTATTAAAGAAGATTAACTTGCAGTGCCATGGTGGAGGGCCCAGGATTATTTTATGTACTTCCATTGCCTTACAAGCCGTCAACACAATTACTGCCCTCCGATGTGAATGACTGATCTGTAACCACAGTTAAACAGCATGTTGCTTAGGGGCCTAGGCGCTTCACGAAGATGAATTTCCATACCATCAAAGTGCTTTTAATGGGCTCCCCAATCCAACCACAAGGCCTGCTTTGCAAGTATATAGAACTCAGGATGAAGGCTTCCTGTCCAAAAGGATTTGGTCGGTTGTCACTTGACAATTCCCAGCCAGCACAGGGGAGGAGAGGGGGGAGATAGGTAGAGTTGTCTCTGCTTTGGAGGATTAAAAAAAAAAAGGGTACAGATGCTTTGTGAATGCAACCAACTGCTGTATCCACAGCTGAATTCAATGCGCTTAACAAATAACGGCAATTTAGCTATGCTTGCGAGGAATAGCTTGAGTCACTTTGCATTAGCATCTGGCTGAGTGTTAAACTCATTTCTGCATGGGGAGCAGAGAAAAGGAATTTCTGTTCAAGCATCCTTTCAAGAATGTTTCAATATTTGAACATAAATTTCTTTATGCTTGTGATCACTTCTTCTTATAGCTGACACTTTCCTCTTCCCCTTCCCTTCTGGTATTCTCCTATGTTAAACAGCATAAAGTCCCAATGCCGCCCCTTTTATATTTTAGGTACTGCCACACATGGAGTGATATCGTGACCCTGGCTTTGATCTCTTCCCTAAGGACTGAATAAAATTGGAACTGCTTCTATGCCCTTGACACCCATATAAGAATTGGTGAAAAAAATACATGAGTGAGAGAATCATACATACAATTCATATTCTTAATGCAATCTGCTGGCTTCTCAGAGCTTATTGATCAAACTCCATATAAAACCTAGGAAAACTGGAAAGCTATCCAAATTAGCAATCTGCTCATTCTGGACAATACTGTTTGATTCATAAGTTTCCCATGATGATTAACTTTCAAGTTAGAGCTAAGTAGCTGATCATTTTTTTTTTTTTTACTCTTATTGACTTGGTCCACTATCTGCCTACATATAAAAAAATTTCAATTTAATATAAGTCAAGTAACACCAAATATAGACACATAATTTTGAACATTCTGGAGTAATATGGTAATACTTATGAAGAAAAGCAACTCTCTCCCTAAACAATGGCTTTATTAACAACCCAAAGCTAATTCAGAGCTATAGAATATTAGATTCAACAACTCTAGTTTTGAAGTTCTGCAAAAAGTACATGGTGTTCTTGGAAATGATTATATGTCTCCCAGTTTTATACTCATCTAACATAACTCTACAGTTCTCTGCTGTAGCAATATAACGTCATATGTGACAACTTCACAAGCCTAGATGCCTAGAAGATGAGCTTGTGTATCATCAGCTCACAGCTTATGCTACTTAAAGAGGCTTCAGCATTTTAAAATCCAGCTCATCGCACAAACCATGTGAGCATTTCCATAAAGTAACATCTTTACACAGGCCCACAAATTTCAAAGACAATCTAATTTTACTTTAATTCATATTGACACATGAAAAAGAGAATTAGTTGTCACCAATTGTCAAGCATCTAGAGAAGGATTAAGCATAATTCAATTCTTAACCGAGTCTTGGTGAGTCTTATTTCAGTGAGTATAGGGTGGGACATAGGTTACATAAAGATGGAGGGAAAGGAAGAGTAGGATTACTATGAAGAAAGTGAGTTTGTGAAGAGATGCTAAGAAAAAAAAGTGTGTGTAAATATGTGTGCATATGTATATAAATATATGTAATATTCGTGTAATATATTAGTTCAGGAACTAACCTTTTCTGTTCTGCAGTTATTGAGCCCCAGACTATTCACAACAGCCACCTTCCCATCAAGCACCTGTTGTTCCCGCCGAAGTTGCTCCTTCATCTGTCGAGCTTCTTGGATTGCCTTGGTAACAGCATCATGGTCATTTAAATAACCTGACATGATAGAATAAAGTGTATCATTTTACACAGTTAAGGATAAAATCATTTGTCCTGTAAAAACTCCTTCATATTTTCTTTAAGTGTTTAATTAAATGAAAAAGACAGTGAAAATATCACACATATCAGCAGTGGCAGTGATGACAGAACATCTGAATGAAACTGGAAAAAAATTAGTTGTTTTTTAAAAGGTTGTTTCTAAGTATCTAGATGGTTGGCATCAAAAAAACAGATTTAGAACTACATTTTTATCTGAATGTTTGACACAGCCTTTGCTTTGCAATTAAACTTTTCGAATGAAATTGACAGTTGGATGAGAACACTACGAAATATGTACTGATAATACTCCAATACCTGATTTAATTTCAACATTCCCTTAATATTAGACAGACAACTTGTGGCTTTTGGACAGCAGGACTGAATTTTCTAGGGACAGAGAGAATAGATCTTGAACCCATTGAAAAAAGGTCATTTCTCCCCTAAACCCAGATATATTAAAATAAACCACAGGTGGCAAGTGGTTTGTTGTAGATACAAAACTCATAATGGTTGAGATAATACATCTCATGCTACGAATGTTACCAAGTGATTGTCATTAAGTGTTTAGTAAGAAATTGTGGCTATCATAACTATATTACACGTAATTCATGCTGCTAATAAAAGGTCAGATGTCTAATTTAAGGTTGCTGCTCCACAGTCTAAAATTTAGACAATATATTGCTGAATTATTTCTTTTAAAACATAGACATCAGAAGCACATCTACTAATACTACTTAATTTAAAATGTGACACTTTGTCATCTTTTTCTTTAGTGTAGATTATACTTATTATAATCTGCAAGTGATTCATAGGGTGGAATACTGATAGGAGACTTTAAGTCCTTGTCTATTTTTCAAATATTTTAAGGGAAGCTAATATCCATCATCCCTCTCTATCTTTTAACTAGGGCATAAAAATGGCATAAAATGAATCTATAATATGAAATTGCCCAGAAAAGGGACTTGTTTGTGACATGAGGCTAAATCTAACCAGATCCATTGGTGAATTGTGACAGATGGAGGGACTGTGAGACAGAAGGCAGGCACTAATCACACATAAAATGACCGGCTTGCCTCAACATGTTCCATGGATTCCAGCAAACTTTACACCCTAATCCATTTTTAGAACAAAAAACATCTGGGCCATAAATCCTCTAATCTGCCAAAACACGCTATTAAATCCCATGATTTGTTGAAAAACACTAAGATTAAAGAAAGGAAATATAAAATGGCTAACTGCCGTGTTAGGAAAGTGTTATTAATACTCTTTCTTTGTCTCAATTATGAATGTTCTGTTCCTAAAGAGCCTCATCTAATCATGTCAGATTACAATACACATCCTTGTTGTACTGCTAGAGACTCTTCTATCTGATCTGCTGATTGCCAAAAAATGCAGAATATTATCTTGCTGCTTAAAACATTTCTGTTGAAGAAACTGATGTCAGATTAGTTCAGTGCTTCACTGCTAGAAGGGTTCTAAATGATCCACGTTTTTTATTATGCACAGACTGGACCTGGTGTTCTGATCTCCCTTAATGGTTGAAAGAAAAGTTTCAGATGGGGGATGGGAAAAAGGTCTAGAGGGTCTAATAAATATCCTGCTGAAAACATTGACATTATTTCTAGAAATAATTTGATCCCTACTCCTTATAATTAGAAAAAGAACTGGCAACAACACTTTAAATGGGTTTAAAAAACATTTAAGTTTAAATCTACTATTAAAAGAGCATTATGTTTAATATTTTATTATTCTTACCATCTTTACTCTCTTCTTCCTAACAGCCTAAATCTCGTTCTTGAAACATATGACTAGGCAATATAATTAAAAAAACAATACTGTAGCTCATAAAAGTCAGTAATTGTCCTAGAAAACAGTTCAATTAATAAGTTCTAAGAAGTTTCACCTCATAATTTTACCTATTAACCTGAGTTTGCCTACAAACTTGAAAGAATGATATTCCATGAACTATTTGGTTTCTACAGAATACAAATACACTTGAAAAGCTTTGGCACATAGCAGTGAATAAAAGCATGAACTCCTTATGTTTTTCAGTGGCTGCCAAGATGCTAGTGTGCAAGAAAAATGATTAATATAGATGCAAAGAGAATTTAGATTATTTGGAGGGGGTGAACTATTGACAGAAAATGGAACTCAAATGAATAAAATGCAATCTGTAATATATGTGTATATATTTCTAATTTGGTGTGTGAAAGAGGAAAAAAATAAGTTTCTAGTTTAAAATAGACATTCTTGGGTTTGGAGACATAGATTTTAATTAATATACTATATGAAACCCTGACATTTGTGACTTCCTGTGTTAAACTGGAGAATTATTTATATACTGGGCAGTTGAATCTAAACAGGACTTTATTCAGCTTTTTTGGTTGTTATATGTTGGCCTGTCACTATCATATTTCGGTGCTGAAGTAAAATATGTGTGCTTTGTTAAAAGACTCAATGACCAACAACGTAGTTATATTTTCTTAGTACATATAGTTTATATATAAACACATTTTTACTCCATGGGTGTATTTACGTAACTAATATTGCAATAAATGGATGTTGTGATCACTATAAAGGTAATTTTTTGTATATCTAACTATTGCCTATTGAGGTTGGTCAGCTATCACTACATGTAAGAAATAGATACAGATATTGCAAATGATTTGTAATAAATGTTAATTTTCACAAAAATTTTAGGTCAATGATAGTGGTCTAAAAGCCTTGTACCCAAATGAACAAGCTCTATTTAAATTCCCCAAAATCTTTTGTATAAGTGAAGAAATTTCACTAAATTCTTCCCACATTAACATCTGAACATTACACTTCTTCTTATGTCAAATTGTAAAAAAATGAGGAACATCATTTCTCAGGCATACAGTTAAATCGTTTCCCCCCTGTTTCATATCAGTATATTTGGTTTGTTTTAAACTTGTTAAAAGCATGTTGAACTTGAAAGTAGAGCAGGATTATCACATCATAGTGGGGCAGCTAGGTCACTCAGTGGACAGAGTGCCAGGTCTGAAGTCAGAAAGACTCATCTTCCTAAGTTCAAATCTGGTCTCAGACACTTACTAGCTGTGTGACCTTGGGCAAGTCACTTAACCCTGTTTGCCTCAGTTTCCTCATCTGTAAAATGATCTGGAAAAGGAAATGGCAAACTACTTCATTATCTTTGCTAAGAAAACCCCAAATGGGGGGGTCACGGAGAGTTGGACATAACTAAAACAACTGAACAACAACATTACATTATAGGAGCATAGATTTATAGCTGAGAGGCAACTTAGTAGGCCAACCTCTTCTTTTACAGGTAAGGAAACTAAAGCACAGTGAGGTGACTTTTTCAGGGGAACATTAGTAAGTGTCTTGGGCAAGATTTGAACTCAAATTTTCCTCACTAAATGTGGACTATTCACTACATCAAGTTGTCTTTACATACCATTTAGTCAGTGTGTCTCTACCACATTGTTCTAGACATTGTGAGATACTCTACTATAAAACTGTAGGGTTGTAGTTCAGTCTTCATGATGTACCAAATTTCATAGATAAGATAGCTAGGAATGGGATAAATTAATTCAGATTCTGTACCCACCAATAAACTATGGTCAAATACAAAGAACTAGGATGAGAAACTAGATACTTATCATGTAGACCCAACTCTAGCTCTTCTCAAGGATCAACATCTTGGCCACGGGTTCTGAAACCTGCTATCACTCTTCTAGGAAATTCACATTTCTTAAGGATGCTACTTTTCAGCAGCTTTATCCATTTGTGCACCATTTAAAAACCACTACTTCTTATATTTTACACAGTAACATTGTGCTGCAATATCAAAAAAATCACTTTCTATAGTTCTAGTTAGCAGATATATAGCAAAGAGCCCCATGCCATTAATGATAACTTAAGTATGTTATCTTTTGGTCCACAGTTTTCCATGGTTTATTAATGGTCTAACACATTAATTCTTCTTTCAAGAGTGACCTTTACAGCTCCATTAATCCTCACAGCTTTTATCCAGCTACATTATTACTCATTACAGGTACATACAGCTTTTCAACATCTGCATTTTGTTGAAAGGAGAAAAGCAAATTGTAGAGGTCTAAAATCTATGAAAAAAATGAGATGTAGGTGGGGAAAAGATTTTTCATGGAAAACCAAGAGGAATTTTACTACTGAAAAAATACCAGTTAAATGCTAAATATATAGTAATAGACACTATTCATTATCCCCAAGAATAATTTTTAAGTATGACAGATAGTTAAGTGAAAAAAAATTTGTAATAAAAATGCAAATATATTATTTACTCAGCTAGTTTAATAATGTAATTCTAATAACATCACTTAGTAAGTCGCAAGCTAAACAATGCGATATTTATAAGTCAATTACATATTTGATGGACTTAGGTAATTCACCGAAGCCAAATAAAATATTTTGCCCTTTTTATATCCTTGGGCACTAAAATAAGCTTTTTCCTCATTACCAATTAGAATATTCACTAGTCATTATTAAATCCAAACAAAAGAATTTTTGTTTTTCAGTCATTTTTCAGTTGCCAGTTTTCTGTGACCCTATTTGGGTTTGTTGGGGTTGTTTTTTTGTTGTTGTTGTTTAGTTTTTTGGGGTTTTTTTTGGCAAAGATACTGCAGTGATTTGTCATTTCCTTCTCCAGCTCATTTAGAAATGAGGAAATTGAGGCAAATTTGATTAAGTGACTAACCCAGGGTCACACAACTATTAGGTGTCTGAGGCCAGATCTGAACTCAGGAAGATAAGTTGTCCTGATTCCAGGCCCAGAAATCTATCCACTATACCACCTAGCTTCCCCAAACAAAAGAATACATAATACTAAAAATATGTGTGGACTTAAATATCAACCACAGTTATTAAACACTATATGCAAATGTATACTTTGTTTTAAATGAATAATACTTTATTATACAATACAATATGATGAAAAGGAGACTGGTGTAAGGAGTGGATGGATAAAGCTATAGCTCTGGGGTCAGAAAGACCTGGATTCAATTCCTACCTCAGGCATATGAAATGTGTGGTGATCTGTTTAACTTCTCACTGTCTCAGGCAACTCTCTAAGTTATAGACAAGTTGTTGATGATCTAGTCTTTGGAGGGGGTTTCTGTACTTTCTCATATGAGTGAAATTATAGGTCCAAATTCCTTCCCATTCTTCCCAAAAGGTAGCAGCAATGAGTTGTCTGGAGCATTTTAAAAGTCTGAGCATGTATGCCTCTGAAATTGATGCACTAGAATGACAGTTGTGAAGTTTGGAAGATAAGAACCATGCATGCCTTTAACTTGGATGTGCTAAAGTAAAATCCAGGCAGGATTGGATTTTACATCAGTGATATCGTCTGGTGGTTATTTACCATGGCAGATAGATTTTATCTTTTCATACATTTCATTGTAGGCATATGCATGTTACAAAAATGGCAAATTTAGCAAAAATGAAAGTAACGGAACAGGCTACACACCAAATCTTCTGGAAAGATCAGTTGATCCTAGCCTGATCTCTGTTGTTTGGCTTCTAAATAATTCACACACTATGGCCACCACTTCTAATAGTTAACAGTTTTGTAGTGCATCAGGGATTGCACTACATGTATATCTTTTCTCATTTGATTATCATGACAACCTTGTGAATTAGATGCTATTATTGCCTCAATTTTACAGATGAGGAAATTGAAGTTAACCAGATTAAATCATTTTCCCAGGATCACATAGCTGAGGTAGGGTTTGAACTTAGGTCTTCCTGACTTTAAATCCTGCTCTCTACTATAAAGAAAGAATATGTGATCAGTCTATTTTCCATGACTAGCAATTAATAAACATTGATTCTTTAATGAGGCTTTGTATCTTTAGTTTCAGTTTAAAGTGAGTCATGTGGTTTTCACTGACTACATAGAGTTCATCAAGTACACTGAATTTCCACGGCATTGAATCAGAACCATATGTAGAACACAACTGGCCATTTTAAAATACTATTACTCAATTAACACATATAGAACACTACCTGTAAAATTAAAAGAAAAGAAAATTAACTTACCTATTGTGCTAACTCTAGCTGATGGACTGGCTAATGCTGCTGGGACAGAGGCTTTGAGAGAGCTTGCCCCACTGTTTATTCTCAGAGCTGGCATATGGGGAGAGGTGGGTGATGTGGGTGATTTCCCATCAGAGGTCTTGGGTTTAGCAGACAAGTTCAGTGGTTGTGCCACTTCATCCTGCAATAATTGACAGAACATAAACTATGATAAGATCTCAAGCATCTAGAGAAATACAGGTATGTAGCCCAACATTATTGTCTCATCACATGTCTATCAGTTAGTGATCTTTATTGCTTATATACCACATGGAATTTAAGTTTGGTATCATAACAATATATCCATAGGATATCAAAATGATAGTTGCAACCTATTTTGTGATATTATAACTATTGTTATCTTTAGAAACAGTAATCAATCAATAATGATTTATTAAACAACTACCACTTGCTACATATTGAGCTAGCTGCTGACAATAAAAATCCAAAATGATACAGCCACAGTCCTCAAGGAGCTTATTATATTTTACTGTTGCAATGTATTCTAATGATAATAGTACTTTTCATTTATATAGCCCTTCATAATATGTTGACAGACATTATGTCATTTGAACCATACCACAACTCTGTGAAGTATTTAAGGAAGGTATTATTATCCTTATTTACAAATGAGCAAATTGAGGCTTTTTTAGGTTGTGTTGCCTAATATTTTATTTTTTATTATATTTTTATTTCATTAAATATTTCCCAATTACATATAAATTTTTTTAACATTTAAAATTTTTTTGAGTTCCAAATTCTCTCCCTCCTTCTTGCCCCTCCCCCACCCCTTAAGAATGCAAGCAATAGGATATCGATTATACATGTGAAGTTATTGCCTAATATTTTAGATAATAAGTCAGTTGCAGAACTGGCACTAGAACTGAAATACCCTAATCCTTTCCCACTGTGCCACACTACCTCTGAATGTATAAGAAAATATAATTGAAACTTGCATACAACTAGCCATGAGACAAGTTAAGTAACATAGGCGAAATATGCTTAATCATTTTTGTATATATATACATATATTATACAAATAATATATGTATGTGTATATATATATATACACACACACATTTATATAATAATCATTGCCCTGAGTCCCCTAACAAACAGAAGGAAATTTTCCAAGGTTTAAAAACATCAGGTAATCTTTTCCCCCAAACTTCAAAGAAATACCTCTGGATTTGATCCAGACTAAAACCAACTAAATATCATAATGGAAATTATCTTTTTTATTGCATTATTGATCCTTCCAGAGACAGAAATACTTTTCATTTTCCAGAATCTTAGAGTCTGTTTACACATGATAGAAAATAGTATAGCATGAATTCATACAATATGATGATCAGTTAAAGGAACTGGAGACGTCTTGAGTATGAGTGATAGCTGACATAAAATACATGAAAACCAATAGAACTGGATGTAGTTGGATTCTGATTCTGAAGCAGATTGACTTAAGAGTAGCAAGGGTTTCCAATTGTGTAATGTATTATACACGATGGCAATGGAAAATTAAGCATGATCAGTTCAGAAATTTTGGTAATGTTCAATTCTGGTGTGATATGTTGGCATTAGAATGCATTTGAATATATGTCTATCTTAAAGAATATCCAACTTCATATTTGACTCATTTATGGGTTTCCCTGGTGCAACTGACACTGGTTACACTAAGACTACATAGCTGCATCCTAAGTTCTGCCATTTTATTGTAAAACTTTTTTGTGAACTACCCTTTCTCAGTATCCTGACCTATAAAATTGGATTCATTGTGTGAAACTTCTTTTTTAACTAATGCTTCAACAAAGCCCTGTACAACATGTAGGTAGATGTTGTCAAAATATCTTTTAACTTTGATATTAAATAACTTCTAAAAACCCAAAGAAACAGAATTTCATATCTGAAAGGGAGCTAGTGGCTATATAGGCCAATCCATATCAAAAAAAAAATTTTTACCATAAGACATCTGAGAAGTGGAAAGCCAGTCTCTGCCTTGTGTAAAAGGGAACTCACTACCTCTGGAGGATCTCATTTCACTTTTGGATACTTCTAATAATTAGGAAGTATGAAAAAATGTGCTGCTTTGAAAACCAAAACAAATAAAATCTCTCTCATTTAGGACAATCTTTCATGTTTTTGAAGACAACTATAATGGATTGAAGAGTATGTGGAAAGGAGTAGGGTGTAAGAAGACAGCAAAGTAGGCAAGGGCTAGGTTATGAAGGGCTTTGAATGCCAAACACAGCATTTTGTATTTGCTCATCGAGGAAGCACTGAAATTTACTGAGTAGGGTGACATGATTTTTGTTTTAGGAAAATCACTTTAGTGGCTGAATGGAAGATGGATTGGAGTGGGGAGAGAATTGAGGCAGGTGAACTCACCAGTAGGTTATTGCAATAGTCCAGGCATGAGGTGATAAAAGTCTGCACTAGGGCGGTGGTAGTTTTAGAGAGAAGGGGGAATATTTGAGAGTTGTTGCAAAGAAAAAATTTACAGGTCTTGGCAACAAATTGGATATGGAGTTGAGGGATAGTAAGAAATCTAAGATGACACCTAAGATGTGAGCCAAAGGGACTAGGAGAATGGTGTCATCCTCTAGAGTAACAGGGAATGTAGAAGTAAATGAGGGTTTGGCGGGGAGATAATTATCCCTATATGTAATAGCACAATAATGTACTTAGAAAATCCTAAGGAAGCAGCAAAGAAACTAATTGAGACAATTGATTATCCTCAATAAAATTACAGGGTATAAAATAAACTCACAGAAAGCCACATAATTTCAATATAGCAAAAAAAAAATTCAGGAGCCAATAAAGGGACGTTCCATTAAAAATAACCACAGTCTACTAAAGTACCCATATATGTCAAACTGCAAAACACTCCTTAAAGAAATAAAGAGGAAACTTTAATAACTGGAGGAATATTAATCGTTCATGTCTTTATAGTATAAATGTAATAAAATGTTAATGCCGATTAAAAAGTAGATTAAAACCATGTCAGATGTCTTTCACAGATATGGTTAAGGGGTGAATTGTTAACCAAAGAGGAGATTACAAAAGATAAAATAGATGATCTAGTTAGAGCTGTGTGTGCATATAAAAGAAATGAATGGAATCCTTCCATGTTGTGGAGCAAGGCAACAAGTGCTATGGGTCTCTGGGCTTAGTTTTGCTGAATTGATTATTTCCATCTCTTTCTCTCCCTCTTTCCTTTACTCTCTCTGTCTCTGTCTCATAAAGGATGGATCTCTGGGTGGGGGACGGTATGTATCAGGAAATGAAGGTGATCAGAAATGAAAGATAAATTTTTCAAGAAAAAGTTTAACAGTAGGTGTAAAGAACAATTTCAGTTGGGTGATGAGGTTGAAAGACAGACTATAAAGTGTTGAAAAGTAATTGAGAGAAAAATGGGGGACAACTAGTATTAATAACTTCCCCCTCTTTTAAAAAGTAAATTTGGCTCAGTTAATAGATGTAGGATGATAGTTTGAGGAGATTTTAGGATCAAGTAAAGGTGTTTTTTGTTTTTATTTTTAGAATGGCAGGGACTTGGGTATATCTTTAGGCTATAGAGGAGTCTAAATGGATATAAAGAGATTAGAAATTAGAGACAGTGGATCAAGGGCATGTGTAAAGGTATGACCTCTTCATTTTAAACCAGTTCAAAGGAGTAGAGAATAGGGAATGATGTCACAAGGTTTTGAGATTTAAAAACAGGGCAAAAAAGGAAACTGGTAACTAATAGCCTCAATTTTCTCAGTTGTCAATTTGGAGTGGACCCAGTCAGCACATTTCTCTAGCACTCTTCAAAGGTGGGCAAGAGCAGAGAAGGCTCTTGGTAGAGTAGTCCAGGGTTCAGGTTTGACAAAGCACGTAAGGGGACAAGGTATTCGAGTATATAGTTGAAATGATTAACGAAAAGACCAAGGTTGATCTGGGAAAGAAATGAAGTCTATGCAAGCATTGAAGAATAAAGAGACTAGAGGCTATATCAAAAAGTAGATAAAGGAAGAATGAGGGGCAATGAGAAATGGAAGAATAAGAGATAAAGTCAGAGTACTGCTTTATTATGGAAGCAGACTGGTTAAAGGTGACGGTGAGAAAAAGGATGATTATCCCTGTATGTGGCTGAGGTGTTGTAAAGTTGTAAGTCATGGGATTTGAAGAGATTGAAAAACTGGGAGACTAGCCTGGAGCAACATCAATATGAAATTTAATGTCCTCAAATATAGAGGTAGGGAGAGGGATGGATAGAAGATGGTGAATCAGGTACTGTACCACAAGAGAAAGAAAGAATGACCTGGGAGTCAGTAGATAACTGTTACCAGGCTTTGAATGTTTATATGGAGTAAAATTCAAGAGAGGGGATGATAGCAAAGAAAAGATCTTGGAAGTGGCTGTGGAAAGCAAGGTATATGCTTACTCTGTCCTCTGCTACAATGTGTCAAGGGGCATTAGATAAGGTAATCTAGCATTGTAGATGATATCTAGGCACAAAATGTCTTATGAGGGAAGCCAGATCCCCATCAGTACCAGAAGATAAAAGGAACACAGGAACAAAAGGTCCAAGATAAAGAGAAATTGTCAAAAATAGAAGGAAGATCTGGATAGGAATATATTAGGAGTAGGACTAGGTCTCTGGGAATGAGAGAATAGGGAGTCGGGAAGGGGATGGCTTTATTTAAGAAACTGTCATTCTATATTACCAAGTTTAAAAGAGGAATAAGTCAGAGTTTGCTAGCCACCAGATGGTCTTGTGGTTTGTTCTAAGGCTACCATCATAAGAGTTCAGTGATCAGCAGAATAGAGTATCAGTTCTCTTTCAAACAAACAGAGAAGCATGAAAGGGGTCTTCAGTAGGTGATGTATTGACAACAACACATCAGGTATTTAAGTATAATAAAAATTTGTGTCCATTACCCAAATAAAAGTAGCATCATGGGGAATAATTTGATTTAGCAAGCCCTCAAAATCATTACTAGATAGTAAATACATAAATACAAATAATGTAACTTTGATCTTTCATACAGGGCATCTTTTAGTATTATATTACCATTACAAATTAAGAGACTAATATAAAAGTAAAAAATTCCTTGGATCCTAGATTGTAAGAAAATTTAGTTGGATAATACAGATATT